TTTTAAATTTGCAATTGATACTCTCTTATATTCTTCTCAAGATATTGATGAGTGTAATATTGAAAATGGAGGTTGCAAGCAAACCTGTCACAATACTGCTGGAAGTTATTCCTGTGTTTGTGATATGGGCTTTACTTTAGATCTTCATGATAACTGCATAGGTAAGGAATCAGTCTTATTATTATTAAAGTATTACTATTTTTTATAGATATTAATGAATGTGATACTAGTAATGGAGGATGTGACCAGTCTTGTCACAATACATTTGGTAGCTATTACTGTACATGCAACAACAGCTACTCACTCAATGCTGACTATCATACTTGTGATGGTAAGTATAGATGAAAAGTAAAATGACTTGTTGTATTGAATTAGATATTGATGAGTGTGTCTATGGTACTCATGGTTGTAATCAGAACTGTACTAATACTAATGGATCTTATCTTTGTTACTGTATGACTGGTTATCATCTTATGGACAATCAAAAAACATGCACTGGTAATATCATCAGAAAATATTTTTTATGTTAATTTTTAATAGATACAAATGAGTGTCTTTTGAGTAATGGTGGTTGTTCTCAGTTGTGTACTAATACTATTGGTAGCTATCAGTGTAACTGTAGGAATGGATATCAGCTAAGTGATAATGAAATTGATTGTGATGGTTAGTTATCCATCATTTTTGTATTGTTACTAGATTTTCTATTTCAGATATTAATGAGTGTATTAATGGCACTCATCTATGTGAACACAACTGTTATAATACTAATGGTAGTTATGTCTGTGATTGTGAACCAGGCTACCAATTATCAAATGGACTAACATGTTCTGATATTAATGAATGTGATACTAATAATGGAGGGTGTACTCAAGTGTGTGTTAATCAAGTTGGATCATATTATTGTCAGTGTAACAATGGATATACTCTTGATGATGATACTCATGGGTGTTCAGGTAGATATAATTTTAAATTAATTTTTTCAGAAAAATATAATTATTCAGATCACAATGAATGCCTGAACAATATTAATGCTTGTGAACAAATCTGTCACAATTCTAACAGTTCTTATTCTTGCTCATGTTTATCAGGATACAGACTAGGCAATAATAATAAAACTTGTGATGGTAGGTATTCGTGTTACTGTTGTATTTGTGATGCATTCTTTATTAGATATTAATGAGTGTTCTGAAGGACTGTCAAGTTGTAATCAGTTGTGTATTAATACTATTGGAAGTTATGATTGTGATTGTTATGCTGGATTTGATTTGAAGAGTGACAACAAAACATGTCTAGGTATTGAATATTATTATGCATGTAGATTTATCTATTTGGTAGATATCAATGAGTGTACTGGTGATAATAGAGGTTGTTCTGATTCATGCACTAACACAATTGGTAGTTATTATTGTTCTTGTAATTCTGGTTACTCACTGAACAGTGACAAGCATAATTGCACGGGTATGTTTAGCTACTACTGAGAATTTTATAATATTTAATGATTTTTTATTATAGACATCAATGAGTGTTTATTTTCTGACAGTGTTTGCATGCACTCTTGTATTAATACACCTGGCAGCTATTATTGTACTTGTGGATCTGGTTATACTTTAAATAATGATACAAACATTTGTCAAGGTATAAGTCGTACATTGTGCAAAAGTTCTTGATCCTTTCCTTTAAAGATATTAATGAGTGTGCAGTTAATAATGGAGACTGTGAACAGCTGTGTAATAATAGTATTGGAAGTTACTGGTGCTCTTGTCTTACTGGATACACATTAGATACAAACTATGTGAATTGCTCAGGTACACAAATTGTAATAATGACAAAAATTGTAAATTTTAATTATTGATGAGCAGATATTAATGAGTGTGACACTAACAATGGAGGTTGTGAACAGATTTGTACTAATACTGACTCATCCTATCAGTGTTCATGCAGTGAAGGATTCAAATTGCATAATTATTTCTTTTGTTCAGGTATACTGATTATATAGTTGTAACTTAAGTTTCATATTTGATTAGATATTGATGAATGTACTGATGGTACCAGTAATTGTAGTCATATTTGCTTAAACACGGTTGGTAGCTATACCTGTCAGTGCCAGTTAGGATATAAGCTTGATACAGATAATCATACTTGTATTGGTTAGTTGATTTTACCAAACTAGGCCACTTTCTTATCACAACTAAAACTACTTCAATAAGTATTAGTTAAAGCACAGTTCCCCATGCTATGTTTCCCGTACAGCACAAGGAACTATGCCTTAACTAGTATAAGGTCATAGTGCATGGGTGCATCAAAGGCACCAGCCCTAGGTCAAGTGAAGATTATCTTAAAGAGAACCAAAAGAGACTGTATCTGGACTATCTGCTCATGGACTGTTCTATCTCGTGCTGTTCTACCTACTCAGGGGCGGTCACAGTTTATACAACAGGAAACCACAAACTGTGTTGTATGGACCAGGGCTGTGCCTTTTGATGCACCCATGAACTATGCTATAAGCACATTTAATATACTAGATATCAATGAATGCGATGCTCTGGATGGAGGTTGTGAGCAAACCTGTCAAAATACTGAAGGATCCTATCATTGCTCATGTTTTATTGGATACAGTTTGGATTCTGATCAATACAATTGTTCAGGTTATCTATAATAACTAATATCCTTTTGTTCATGTATGTTTCTTAATAGACATCAATGAATGTAGTTTCAATAATGGACATTGTGAACACATTTGTGAAAATTCTATTGGAAACTATACATGCTCTTGTAATTCAGGCTATGTGCTAGTAAATGGAAAATTTTGCTCAGGTAGATTATCATACTGCACTGCCTTTTATTTTGATTACTTTAATAAATTTGTGCACAAAAATGATGTAAATAAGCTCAAAACACTTATAATATTCACTAGTATTGTGTTTGAGTTTATTCGAGTGACCAAATTTTGTAATATTAAAAATATTTCACTATTTATGCTGCATAAATATTTTATTACACTCTCTTGATGGCTTAAGCGTATGCTACTAAATTTGAATTTTAAAATTTTCCCATTAACTACAAACAAAATGTTTTAAATTTGCAATTGATACTCTCTTATATTCTTCTCAAGATATTGATGAGTGTAATATTGAAAATGGAGGTTGCAAGCAAACCTGTCACAATACTGCTGGAAGTTATTCCTGTGTTTGTGATATGGGCTTTACTTTAGATCTTCATGATAACTGCATAGGTAAGGAATCAGTCTTATTATTATTAAAGTATTACTATTTTTTATAGATATTAATGAATGTGATACTAGTAATGGAGGATGTGACCAGTCTTGTCACAATACATTTGGTAGCTATTACTGTACATGCAACAACAGCTACTCACTCAATGCTGACTATCATACTTGTGATGGTAAGTATAGATGAAAAGTAAAATGACTTGTTGTATTGAATTAGATATTGATGAGTGTGTCTATGGTA